GGGCTTGGAGCGCGTCGCAGAACCAGAGCGCATGCAGGAAGATTCCTCCGACTGAAGCGAGACTTGTCACTTAGAAAATGTTCCCTGATTATGAAACTTTGGCTGAATAGTGCTTGTTCCTGTCTCCAATGTGGCGACACATCCAGGAGCCGTCTGAGGAGAATCCCAGAATCTCATATCCTCTTCAGCTCAAAAAGCGCCTATATGATTACGCACAAGCGTGACGCGTCAACCCGGTCTCACAGTAAGACCGGGTTGAAACTGTTCAGGTTTACGCAGACAATCTTTACATTTAGAATTGGCATGCAGATGTAAAATTAATGCAGTAAAATATAAAGCATTTTATTTCAATATCCATTCATTATTTTACAAGCACAGAGAGCCGCATCAGATGGATGGAAGAGCCGCGGGTTGCCGACCCCCGGGTTAGTTCAAAACCTGGTAGCAGTACTAGACAGGACTGACAAATTCAATCAGATATGGGTTCGAGTAGATCTGTGGAAGACAGACTCAAAAAAATCCTACAAAAAATCTTGATCCCATTTTTCAAAAAAATTAAATTGTTTAAAATGGATTGGGTAAAGAAATAACCTAGAGCCATCATTTCATCCATTCATTCATCACCAGGTCAATGGGTTAGTGGATGGAGTGACTAAGGAAATTGAATGGGTGATCTAGGAATTAGAGCGTTGCTTGTACAATCCCAGCTTCTATGAATTCTACTGCTGTGTCCTTGGGCAAGGTCCTTGAGGTTGTCGGCCACCTGACATACCTGTATTGGTTGTGTGTAGAAGGGCCGATGGCGCAAAATGGCTGCCTCACCCACTTCAGACTGCCCCAGAGTAATTGCAGCTGTGATGTAGTTGACCATCACCAACAGAGTATGGACGAGAGTTGGGTAAACTCTCCGTAAAGTGTTTTAGGCACTTCTGTTTGTAAATCTAACCCTTCATTATTATTACCAGCCTAAGTAGAGCTCATCAGGCTTCCTTCTACCCCTAGCTTCTTCTTTTAGCTTTTTCAGAGTGACTCTAAGGTGCTCCTAGCAAGCACAAGATCTGTGTCAATGGCTCCTACTGGTGGGGCAGTAGAATGCAGCCTTGCCAGATTCCCAAACCACCTCAACTGGTGTCTTTTGATGAGGAGGTGCAGACACTTGACTTCAGAGCACATCAATGGGAGGACCCCAGAGGATAATTTCAGCCATTTTGAGGAGGAGGCTAATTTTAGATGCTTGTGTTTGTAATCTCATTCTTTAGATCTTTACTCACAGCTCATTACTGTACAAAGTTCAACCCTAACCCTAAATAAACTACAAGATACTTAAACTGCTCTTCCTGGAGCAGTGGGTCAATCTCAACTTAAATGGTATTAGAAATAGCACAAAGAAGTCTTAAAAATTATAAATTGTGATATTTTATTGTGATTTTAGACAAAGGACTCAAAAAAGTGGAATATATACAGTAAGTTAAACTTATTATATGCTAAATGTATTGAGTGCTTTAGAAAAATGAGCAATTCAAACAAAGCTAAATAATGTTGAGGTGGAACTCTAAACTCCACCTCATATATATATATATATATATATATATATATATATATATATATATATATATATATATATATATGTGATGATGAATGGTGATAAATGAATGGATTATATTATATATATATATATATATTTTTTTTTAATCCATTCATTTATCACCATTCATCATCATCATATTTATATATATATATATATATATATATATATATATATGTGTGTGTGTATATATATATATATACATATATATATATATATATATATATATATATATATATATATATATATATGATGATGATGAATGGTGATAAATGAATGGATTAAAAATATATATATATATATATAATTTAATCCATTCATTTATCACCATTCATCATCACATATATATATATATATATATATATATATATATATATATATATATATATATATACATATGATGATGATGAATGGTGATAAATGAATGGATTAAAATATATATATATATATATATAATTTAATCCATTCATTTATCACCATTCATCATCACACACATATATATATATATATATATATATATATATATATATATATATATATATATATATATATATATATATATATATATATGCCTTGAAACGACCCTGGGTGTGTGGCTGAGTTTTGAAGGTGATCTGATTCAGATCATCTGAATTGTACTTTATTAATCCCAGAGGGAAATTCAATTGTTTCAGTACACACAGTTCTGAGATCATACATACATAGACACAAGACAAGAATCGGTGACTGTGGTCCTTCGCAACCCGAGTCGCGCTACCGTTATAGATCAAGAGGGTTTATAGGAGGATAGAGTCAGGGGGGAGGGGGAATAGGCACTTCAGAGTTACCCTCTACAGAGAGGGCAGCTTTGCTATGCAAAAAAACACCTCAGACAGAAATGCACACAAACTTCAGACGATACACAAAGTAAGTGTCCACTAGGTGGGGAGGTAGGGTTGGGACTCTCCTCACATCAGTGCGTGCAGCCGCATGGAGCAGCGCTCATCACCTCCGTTTGGACAGGGGAGGGAGATAATGAGTTAGAGAGCATGTTGATTCCTAGATACGGTTCCACGTCTTCACCGGTCACAGTCCCACCCAGGCTGGGATAGGGAGAAAGGGTTTCCATAGCGACAGCAGCATTCCACATTTCAGCCTCACAGGCTCCAAGGGCACCAGATTCAGATAAGAATTGTTTTGGGGACAGACAGAGATAATTTCATCCCTGCCTTAAGAGTTCTGTTGGTCTTCAACCCCTCTAGATCCAATAATGGCGTAATCAAACTATTGCAATCCGTGCTGATCCGTCAACTCTCTTTGATCGAATCCACCTTCTGTGCCAGAGTCTGAATCTCAGCCAAAGTTCCAAGCTTATGACTCATCTCGACAATTATATGAGTTTGAGAGTTTACAGCATGACGCATTCCATCCCTGAGCTCCGGGATTAAGCCAATATTCCTCGAAAGCTTGTTAATTTTCCGGTAAGCCAGGTAACCGCTCAGGCCAAACAGCAGGAATCCCGACACAAAAACGACGAATATCCAAATATCTTCAGAATCCTCTACAGACAGTTGAGACAGGCAGATCAGGTTCCACTGTTTCCAGGAGTCCATGAAATGCCCAGCTGGCTCTGTCCCAGAGGGGCATCCGGGAGCCCCTTCTCCCGTTCTCATCGTTGAAAAGATTTTGTCAATCGCGTTGAGAGACCAACTGACCAGATCCATGTTTAATAATTTCCAGTTTCCAGAAAAAATGCAGAAAGCGCCGCGCACAGGCAGACTGGACAAAGAGCCTTGGGAGGAGCTTGGAGGGAGAGGAGAAAAAAAGTGTCTGTACTCTCCAAGAGCTGGAAGAAGAAGTTACATGTGTAAAACTTATTACTTTATAAAACGTGTAGTGGAGATAAAGCTACCTACATTTTACTTTTCAACACTTTGCTTTGTTTTCTTGTTTTTATTTAACTATTTTCCTGTCCAGTCTGTCTCTCACTTTCCTGCATCTCCTCTAAATTCTGCAGAAAAACTGCTGCCTGGATTTTTACCTTTTCACTTCATCAGTTATTTTTGAACTACGCAGATCAAAGGGATCTCCTGACCGCAAAGCGTAGTGCGTGTTTTGATGCTGCGTCAGTGAGGTGAAACACTGCAGCACACGATGAGCGGAGCGCATCAGGAACGATTAAAATTCAGAGTATCAGAGGATTTAAACAGATATGAATGATCATGTGTTATAAATAATGTTTTGTTGCGCCACCTTGAGAACGCATCGTGCGCCGGCTGCGTCCGACGTACCAACGATCAGCGCTCTGCGTCCTCTCCGCTCAGCAGAATCTGGCTACGCTGAGAGTCCATAAATATTGTAATATGGATCTTTCCCTGAAAGATATCTAGGCCCCCCACAACTCGGTCCCTGCTCCTGGATGAAAAACCGGACATTTTGATCTACGTAGGAAACCTTCCCGGACGGCCCGGACAGAGTGAAAATTGGACATGTCCGGGGAAAAGAGGACGTATGGGCACCCTACTGTTGTGTCCTTGGGCAAGACACGTAACCCGCCCTGCCTGCTGGTGGTGGTCGGAGGAACCGGTGGTACCGGGGCAGTGGCTACATCGTAGCTCATCCCCAACAGAGTGTGGATGTTTGTGAATTAGTGTTGTTAAGCGCCTGGGGGGCTTCTAGAATCTTAAGAAGGCCCTATACAAACACAGGCCATTTACAGTTCAGTAAAGGGTGGAATTATACGGGTCCAGAAGATTTTAGTGACTTTTGAGTGCTAAAAGTGCTATTGTAATTGTATTATTCGTGGTACTTTGTACATTCTTTGTACTTTTAAGTTTAAATAGTCTTTTCCAAGCAAAAATACATACAAGATGTAAAAAAATATGATAACAACCCAAATTATTAATTATGAAAATACCGTTTAAACCAGTGGAGCAAAACCACAACAACCTTGACAAATGAGGAAGTGAGTGACAAGAGCAGCCCTGGTCAGCACTATTTTTAAAACAAACTGCGGTTTGACCTTGTTACTTTCAGTTCAACTTTGATATGCATAAACTGTCTTTGTTCAATAAATGGCAGACTGAAATTCTGAGAAGTTGAATAAAAATCGTAAATGTGTCAAAATGCTTTTTTCCTAAAAAGGGTCGCTGAAACGGGAGGAGTGCCTTTAGAAGCAGAAATGCCTTCAAGGCCACTTTCTGACTCGAAATTTCTGCGATTCTATGATATATGACACAATTCTACAAGCATTTGATCATTTTTTTACTAGGTTTACGCATTTATATTTTAATAAGGTTTTTATTTTTTTTATCATGAACCAGACAACATTAACGCTTTGTAAAATGTGACACAATAGTCTTAAATGAAGGTGAAACTTCCTCTTTAACATCCACACCTAAACGCATCATCAAATTGACCGTTAACTTCCGGGTGATGCTAGTCTGGAGTCGGAAACGCTTCTGGCATGCAGAAAGGCGGATCCCCTTTCCCACTTTGTCTTTCTGAACTTCCATAGAACCAGTTTTTACTTGTAAATTTATGCCGCGTTGCCACACCTAAAAGGAGAAAAAGAGTTGTTGAGCCTTTTTCCTAAACGTTTCTCGATTCAGTCGGTCTTTTCGGTTGCGAGAAGGAGATTTTACTCAGGCTTAGCTCGCTAACTTTGAACGCTCTGGTGTAACTTGACAACAGCAGGAAACAAGCAAGAATATGGAAGATAAAGAATTAATATGGGCATTGAAGACCGGGGATTTGGACGAGATTAAACCCAAACTGACACGGGTAAGAAAACGTACAATAATCTAACAGGTGGCGATTTAGCAGATATAATTGAACGCTTGTTTGTGTCCTTGCTAACTAGCTAACAGCGCCTACGAAACTGGAGTAATTTTGAGGAACCAGAATAAACAAGGAATTGCAGCGAGCTGGAGTAACAGTTGTTTGTGGACATTTACAGAAATGAATGACTTTTTCCAATTGCATAAAAGCTCTATGACAAGCCATATGATTGTTACCTTAGCGTAGTTAGCTAAATGTCACTGTACTCCAAAAGTGAGTTTTAGACGGTGAGCAAATGTTTAGTTGTATTGCCTATCAATAATTTATCGTAATATATATGTATATATATTTTTGATAAACGACGCGTTTCACGTGTGCATGTTGTTCAACTCGGCTAGCTTAAAACAACCTGTTGGTTAGCTAGCAAACACTAGTTTTCATGTATAGGTGCCCTTTTTTGCGATAACCAGTGCCCGCAACAACATAATAATAAATTCAGATTGTACATTTTTTAGAGAAGATTTATCAAAGTACTCGGAATAAAGGGCTAACTAAATGTGTGATTTGTGTGTAGCCGGAAGCTAGCTCTCTGACAAGCCAGACAGGCCCAGGACCTAGCAGGTGGGTGGAGGTTTCAGATGTCGCCTTATTAGAGATGTGACTCAGTAAAATCTTTGAAAGGTTGGTGATAAAGTGTTGCCATACGTTTATAGATAAAGGGAAAACTATTCAACAAAACTGTGGTCTGCTTTTAATTGTAATTATTTGAATAATGTCACCAGAATATTTCATTGTGTTGTACTGGACCACACTGATCACTGACACGAGCTTATTTTAAATTCTACTGGTTGTATTCGAGGTTCTTAATAGTGCTTGAAAGTCTTTAAGATCCTAAATTTTTTAAGCGGTCTAATATAGGTTTTGAACGTGAGTCAGATTTTCATAAAGTGCTTAAAGTACTTGAAGTTGCAACTGAATTAATCTTGGCATACATTTCATTATAATTGAAAGCATTACTAAAACACATTTGAAAAGTCAAAACTCCTTATTTGTTTAGCCTTATTGTGTGTTTGTACTGTTCATTTAGGTTTAAATCAGAGTAAGATGGTAGAATATCCTGAAAACACCTTGAAAATGCTTGAATTTCATCTTTGTGTATAAACTGTCTATTAGCAAGTGAGAAAAAAGGACAAACTTAACAAAGTTAGCACCTTTGAAATGGCCAAAAACTTACCACCAACCACATGGCCATTGGTGTTCCTATTTGTGGATAAAAAAATTAAAATAACAGAAGAAGCTGATAAGAAAAGGATGTTTGTCGCAATGTCAAACGTTTTTTTAACCACAAGAAACCTGAAGGTCTAATTGACCCAAATTTTTTTTAATTTTAAATTGAAGAAAACTGACTATTAATCTGTAAAAATAATTAAGCATTGTGTAGTGACTATGAATCCTATTTAAAACAAGCAAATTGGTCAGACGTCCTTGTACAGTAATGTTACATTTCCAAAGGAAATGATCAAATATATATACATATATATATTTTTATTAGGGCTGGATGATAATTCAATACTTCAGTATATCTATCGATAGACATGTGGCACAATAGAAAAAAATGGGTTGATAAAACTTTGATGAAACGGTTATCTTTTTTCATTATAACCTATCAGGTAGCAGCATACTACACTCACTACTTACTAGGGCTGGGGGTAAACGATTAATTTTAAAACGATTATTCAGACGATTATTTTATTGAATAGTCGACTATTCTAATGACGATTTAGACAATTAAATTTCTATTGCACGGTTAATAAAAACCAAAAAATCTCACATTCCTCAAAAAAATTGATAAATTGTTACTGCAAGAGAATAAACACTACAGGCCTTCCATTGTGTATAACACTGCTTTTATTGTGTTGTTGTTGGTTATGTTCTGGTGACGTGTAGAACTTAAGCGTGCAGGCTGCTGCCTGAGAGAACTTGGGAGTGTCTCCATGCTGCTTTGTTTTGGTCACTTATGTGCGTGAGGTGAGTGGTGTCCTGGGAAGTTTGGCTCGTGTGCAAAAAGGAAGGGACAATAACACGGGAATTTAAAAGTTTAAATGATGATCAGGTTTATTTACAACAACAACAAACATAATCTTTCCATCCACAGGCTGGGAATAATAAAACTAATTATGCCTGTGGGGAATTAAAACAAAAGTACAAATAACTAAGGATGTCCCACTGGGCAAAGATTACAGGGTTCTGGACCAAAATAAGGATCTCCAAAGGTCCAAACTCTAAACTGGGTGGTTAACTGGGTTGGAAATAAAATGGCTAGGGCTGAATGTGAAATGCTTTTTGTCCAATTTTTAAGATATCTTTCAACAACTATCGATATCAATCAATATTTAAAAAAATGTTATGGAAATACTTTTTTTCTATGTTGTCCAGCCCGTGTGTGTGTGTGTGTGTGTGTGTGTGTGTGTGTGTGTGTGTGTGTGTGTGTGTGTGTGTGTGTGTGTGTGTGTGTGTGTGTGTGTGTGTGTGTGTGTGTGTGTGTGTGTGTGTGTGTGTGTGTGTGTGTGTGTGTGTGTGTGTGTGTGTGTGTGTGTGTGTGTGTGTTAGGGCTGAACTAGCTGTAGGGTTATTTAACCTATAGGATTTTATGATTGTTGATCTGAAATAACACAAAGGAGCTGTTGATTCAAATATTCAGAAAAGCTTAAGTTTTACTGAATGAAATGGATATTTATGTTTTTTTTCCAGATCATTTATTGAACTATTCATAAGTACATGTGTGCAGTTGTGTTGTGGAAGTCATTGTTTTTATGAACATCTCTGAGCAGAATTAGGTTTCTGGTTCATAAAACATTAGTGAGTGTGAAGGGATTTTAGTTTATGAGCATAATAATAATAATTTAGACTATTCCTTCATCATTGAAGGCATTTCCAGCTTCTTGAATATGTGTATATAATACACGATTGTAAAATTTGTGGGGGGTTTCTAACTCGTAAGCCTTGTAATGATCCACACCAGTCCAGCTATATGTGCTGGCAGCACGCTGTTTTGTCTTTTAACTGTGAAAATGACATTGTTGAAATTCTACCTGGCGTTCCAGCCGTGGCCATTGACAGAAACATTTAAACATGATTAGAAGAGGTTGATATTCATGATCCATCACTGCTAATGGATTCTGTGGGATTGGTTATAAAATGAAGATTCGTGTTCATTATGTTGAAGTTGACCTTCAGTAGAGGTGGTAATAAAGGTGAGTGGGTGGCAGTGGTGCCTTGTGTATTATGATGTGGTACTCGATTGGTTGGTAATCACAGAAGAGGCTTTGAGGAACATGGTTCTATGTTATTCAAATCCAGGAATTAAGGACGTTTTAATTGGAATAAAGATTATTTTCCTCACATTTTCAATGTGTGCATTGAAACAGATAATTATTCAAATCATGCTTTTTAAATACATCATACATTCCTAAATGAAAACGTTTGGCCTAGAGCAAATGCTATTGGTAAACAATCATCTAACACTTTCAGAGCTAAGAAGACATTTGTATTTTGGACTTCAATAGTCAGAAGCAAAACAGGAAACTATTTAAAATGCTGGATGTTTTTCATTTGCTGTTAGTCTAGTCTCAAATCAAGTGCTTTCGTATGAATGGTCTTGTAGAACAGAGGGGTGTTACAGAAAGCAAGTTAGAACATCGGAGCTTTCCTGATAAATCCCTGCTTGACAAAGCGCTCCCTTCCCTCCGGGTTTCGCTGGCTCCAGGAACGATTCTCAGGTGGATTCAATCCCCTACAATTCAAGCGAGAAGCGGCAGTCAAGACTCATGCGCGTCTATAGGCAGCCCTGTTAATCGATGCTAGATAGATCAGAATGGAAGGAAAGGACAGCCTTGTTTTTGTCACAGAGGAAGAATTAATAATTGATGCCTATGAGGTCTACAAACATATCAGAACTAAAATGGAGACTGCTAGTTGCTTGATTAAAGCTGTGCGGCTATTTAGTTAAAACGCTCAGCATTCACATGTTTCCATGGAAACGCTGAAAGTTCGCCAAACTTCAGCAAGCCTAGCTGCTAGCCTGACATGGAGCAGGTTTGTTCTCCAGCATGTGTTCCCATGGCGACTGGGAGTGGTTTCAGGCTAGCCATGGTCAAAAAACTAGTTTGGAGCAGTTAAACAGGGATTTTCTAAAGAAATCCCGGTTTTTGGGATTAGCTTGGTTTCTGGAACAGCCTTCTGCTCATTTAGGTTTAATTATTTATTTATTTATTAGACTGTGATTGTTCTTTTGTCTTCTTTGGTTCCTGAGAAGTCACCTGACTTAGGGTTGTAAGAGGGAAAAGTTGTCGGGTCTGTTTTGTCTGTAGGAAAATAAGCAACAGAACAGAACCTGCATGTAACTTAAAATAAATGTTTGTGTCGACAGTGAGGATTGCTATTTCAGTGCGGCAGTCTATTGCTTGCTTGTGACAGGACAAATTTTGTTGATTTCAAACGTACGCTTTCTCTTTTCCAGCCTGAAGATGTAAATCGGACCCTGGACAGTGGAAGAAAGCCCCTTCACTTCGCTGCAGACTTTGGTCATCTGGAAGTGGTGGAGTACCTCATTTCTAAGGGAGCAGATGTCAATGTGAGAAATAAAACAGCCACTACTACCTCAGCGTTTGTTTTTAAATAACTGCTTGTTTCCACTTCCTGTCCTGATGTGTGCTCATTGTCAGCATGCTTGAGTTTACGCCAGCTTTAGGTGCTTGACTTCAAACTGACTGTTTTTCCTGTTCAGCCAGCAGTTCTTTACGCTGACCTAGTGGTGGACTGGTAGATTAATCTGTTCATCTAAAACATTTTGTTTTTGTTTTTAGGGGTGCTGATAATACATTCAGATGTAAAAGACTACCATTAGTTTCAGCCGTTTGCCTCAGTAACATCTATTTGAGTCAGTCACACGTTTAAAGTTTTAGAACGTTAACTTGGATGTTCAAGGCTAAAATGTTAGCATTCGTCACATTCCACCACTGAAACAGCTGATTAACAATGGTGTTGAAGAGCACAAAATTCTGTCTGAGAGATAAAACTTTTTCACTGTTGGGGTTTGAATCAGGCTGCTGATGAATAAAGGAAAACTTCAGCAGATGTTGTTTTTCTTTAAACCTCTCTGACCTGTTCTCTCCACAGGCTCCAGACAAGCACGGGCTCACTCCACTGATCTGTGCCTGTTATGAGAATCACAGCCAATGTGTCAAGATGCTGTTAGAAAAGGTTGGTATCTTATTCGTGCATGCATCTGTAAACCGCGCCTTTCACTCATCGGTGCTTGTTGATGTGTCGAATGCCACAGCCTGAGTGCTGATGAGGTAAGTCGATAGACAAAAGGCCCTTCAGCACTGTGCTGTGGAGGCTGTGCTGGAATGTTCACACAGAGCATCACATACTATGCTGCTGCTCGTTTTGTCCACTTGTATCATTCATAGCTGCTGTTTGCCCCATCTAAAATGCTCTGTTCCAACCGGGCCCTCCTCAGTCATTTACAACGGTCTGAAATCCTGCACTAGTCAGATGAAATCTGTCACTTTTATGCTGAAGTTGGTGAGAGTTGGGTGCAGCTAGCATTTGCTTTTATTACAGTTGAATGTCAAATTTATCCTGCATCATTCTGTCATGGAAACAGATTCATACACTTTTTGCTCTGGTAAAATGGTCCCAGTGTGTTTGTGTCCAAACTTTATTGTAGGAAGCCTCTGCTTCCTCTTACCTAAATGTTTGACTCAAACTTAAATGAGTCAGACATTGACCTGTTTTCACCACCTGTATGTGGTTTGATTTTTGTGTGAGCTTGACTGCCCTGTATATGATAACTGTAACACCTTTAAACAGGGTATCTGCAGGTCCTTAAAAAGTCTTAAGTCTTAAATTTGGTTTTCCAAATTTAAGGCCCTAAAAATCCTTAAAAAATTTCAAATAATCCTTAAATACAGTTTCCAAAGGACTTAAATTACCAAAGGCCCAACAAACAAGATTCTTTTATTTCTATAAAATTTTCGTGAATTTCTAGTTGGTGTTAGTTAGTGTTCATGATGTTGGCGTAAGCGGAACCGTACACATTCAGTTTGTTGTGAAAGGGGGCTATATTAAATGAGCACATTAGCTGATTAAGCTAGTGGGAGCTTGCGCCATGGGGAAGTGCAAGTTTAATGGTAACTAGATGGCTAATCCCACGTCCGCGACGTGATTGGCACCAGTTCCAGGTAATAGCTGGAAATTATAGCTTAAATTTATTTTTAAAATTAGCTTAAATTTGGTCAAAGTGGCCTTAAAAAAGGTCTTAAAAAGTCTTAAATTTGGCTCCCTTAAACCTGCAGATACCCTGTTTAAAGGGGCTAGATCATGCAATTTTAAACCTTTGAGAGCAAAGGTTGGCCCAATATATGATAAAATATTACCGTTGGCACTATTGAGATGACATTTTATCTTAAATATGGGTTATGTTCTTCAGCCTGAATTTATACCTGGAAATGAAACTGTTTCAGTGACACTCCGTCCATGTCCGCTCCAACAAATCTCTCCTACAACAGCGTCTTAGCCAAATCTGCTGATGTATTGGCCTTGGTAGTCTAGCAGTTGAAGCATCTTGCCTTTCATCTCATTTTGCCATGTCCTGACGCAGGTTCAGCTCCTGCTGTCGGCAGTAATTTATGCAGGCAGCTGAAGCAGATTTCATGTTTTTACATTTTAGTTTTATTATTTATTTTTCTGCAAAATATTTTGTTCCTTAAGATTTTTGAATTTGGTCATTTCCAAGCTGCATTTTAGCTGATTTACTCCACTGACCTCACTTGGACTCACACTGGCTAAATAAACAAAGAAAGTAAAATAAATAAATAAATAATTGAAATAAAATAACAGATTTGTTCTAGAGACCCGCTGATATATTACATTTTTTCAATATCTGGCAAAATTATTTTCAAAGACAGATAAAAGTAAAAAGTCAAAGAATTCTGGGACCTGTGTGGTCAACTGCCACCACTACTAGAATAAAGAAAGGACCCGAAGGACCCTGACACACGCTTACCCCCAAATTCCACTACCTCCGCTCCGCTCCGGCACGAACTCCGCAGCAAAATCGGTCCCGTTGTAGTCAATCAGAGCAATTCCACTACTGCGGCCGTGCTGCGGCCGTGCTGCGGCAGTGCGCCGCCCTCTGTTCCGGCGTCCGGCAAAAATAGAATCGATCCTATTTTCGCCAGACGCCGGAGCACCTCCGCAGTCAATGGACAGGAATCACAACCGCCCAACAGGAAAGGGAGCAAGCATAACTTCCGTTTTTCACAATAAATCGATAAACAAAAAGCGTTTTTTGTTTCATATGCACAAGTTTAACAACTTTTAACAACTATCAATGGCGGCTGAACTTTAAATGCACAAAAGTAAGCCATAAATACAGTTCCCACTATCAAAGTACTCACACTTTGTTGATCCAAACACTGCTGATCTCTCAACACAAATGATGGGCAGATTGAACAGTTCATTTCGATGCTTTTCCCACACAACGGGTGTTTGGATCTAACTTCTGCGTTTATTGCTCGGACTGTATCGCAAGATCTCGAAAATCCTGCGCATGCTTGTTTGCGCACCTCAGGTCTCCGCACCGGAGCGGAGCCGTTGTAGAGCGGGTACCAGTAAAAACTGAGTTCGGAAGCGAGCGGCTGCGGAAGGCGGGGGCGGAGCGGAGGTAGTGGAATTTGGGGGTTAAATGTGTTTAATTTATATTGCACACAGTGAGTGCTCCGTTGTCTTTCACAATCAATGTGCTGCTAAACAAATATATATCGGCCTTAATCGGCTTTAGATATCGGCCATCGGCAACAAAATTCTTAAAAAATCCGTATCGGCATTGGCCTTAAATCTGTACAGTCGGCCTTTCTGTCTTTTTTCTGTTTGTTTTTTTTTTTTAGCTGGCTGTTTTCGCTGCCTGTCAGTAACCAGACTCTTTCTCTATGCAGAATTAGAGGATGAGTCTGGCAGGCCAGGCTACAAAATCACATGATAAAAAGCTCCAAAGAGTGATTTTTTTCATTATATGGACACTTTTAAGGACCACAATAGCAACTCTTCCTTTAAAACTGCTAAAAGGCTTGTATTTATATAATACCGTCTAGAGACTTACAACCTCTTAAGGTGCTTTACAACTAACCAGTCATTCACACACTGGTGGTGATGAGCTACATCGTAGCCACTGCTGCTCTTGGGCACACTGACGGAGGCGAGGCTGCCGTCTATCCGCACGACCGGCTCCTCCGACCGCCAGCAGCAGGCAAGGAGGGTGAAGTGTGTTACCCAAGGAGACGCCGACTGAGACAGACTGAGCAAGGCTTAAACCTGCAACCCTCCAGTTATGGAGTGGGCACGTAACTCTAAAACCATTTCCCTGTAGAGAAAACCTTTAAAAAAGCATAACATCTCTGTGTCCTTTAGTTTAATTAAAGATACCTGCTGTAGTAGTGTGGAACGAGGCTTTCGTGCAAGAACTCCAAATTTGTAAAACATCTGTAGAAAAAGTTAGCCGCATTCAGGTTTAAAGTTTAGTTAATGGGGAAAGTTTATCTTCATTGTGTCACAGGAACTTGCAATGTGAAAGGCTGCAAGATGTCGTGTAAAGCGCTTCACACAAGGGATGCTTTGTATTGTTTATGAGGGAGCGATGGAAAGAGACACTGGGGGAAGGGAACAGCAGCATTTTCCCCAGTCTGGGTTTACAAAAGGACCTCCACAATGTTTAATAGGAGCAGCATCTTAATTTCTGCAGGAGTAACAGACATCTGATTGGGGCTTTTATCATACGAGTTGCTGTACTGTGGAACAGTCACATTTTTCCTTTTGCTGAATCATTTGTGTCGTTCAGTCACGGTTATCTGTAGGCTCAGTTTTAGCTGCACGTCTAAACAGTTACCTGGAATGAGGAAGTCATAAATTATATATGAAAAGTAGTGGTGTTGGGTTAGAGACTGTTCCATGCTGTTTTCCCCCAATCATTCAGCTCTCATAACCCCTTCATTTTTTCTTTGTTACAAATGGTGCCACATGTCTCAGTCCTGATACTAACAAACCAGCAAAGTCTCAGCAACTCAAAAATAAAACTAAAGGGAAACAATAAACATAACAACTGTGTTATGGCTTTATGTGTTGTGAAGGTTGTTGGCATCCTAGGGTTGATGTGTTCATGTTATATACAGCCGCTGGTCATAAAATTAGAATATCATGACAAATTGATTATTTTCAGTAATTCCACTCACAAAGTGAAACTTGTATATTAGTAATTCATCACACACAGACTGATATATTTCAAAAGTTTCCTTTAATTTTGATGATTATAACTGACAACTAATAATATTAGAATATTGTGAAATGGTTCAATTTTGAAGATCCCTGGTAAACTCTAATCAGCTAATTCACTCAAAACACCTGCAAAAGCCTTTAAATGGTCTCTCAGTCTAGTTCTGTAGTCTACACAATCAAGGGGAAAACTGCTGACTTGACAATTGTCCAAAAGACAACCACTGACACCATTCACGAGGAGGGCAAGACACAAAAGGTCACTCCTAAAAAGGTATAGCCTGGCAAGCCAGACAAAATAAATGTATTGTTTTGTAACTTGTAACAAGTTTTGAAACTGTAAATTTATTTTTGTAGCATGCAATTCTCATTTTGTAACATGCAACTTTTGTTTTGTAACACATAACTTTTGGTACTCGACATGAAACTTTCATTTTGTAACTTGCAGAAAAAAAAATCAATGTACAAGTTTCAAATCACAAATCTTAAAACACATCTCAGTCTACAGTTCCAAAACTCAAGTCTGCAGGTACAAAACATTTGTCCCAATTCTAGATTCCTTCCGAAATAACCAATGACGGGCTTCGTCTGACGAACCAGTCATGAGTCTTGGATTCCTGTCCAGTCATGGCAAGAGGGCATAGGTCTGTTGTACTACTCACAACCAAACTTGCTTACATTTTTACTCTTTACCCGTAAATCAAAAACTATGTTTTATGGAACCTGATATTAGCCAAGAATAATCTTGTCCAGGTTTGAGATGTGTGTTTTGAAAGTTGTGGTTTGAAACTTGTACATTGAATTTTTTTTTGCAAGTTACAAAATTAAAGTTACATTTTACAAAACGTGAATTACATGCTACAAAAAATGTTACAGGTACAAAAGATGTTACAAGTTACAAAACTTGGTACAATGTACTTGAAATATTG